ATTAGGTATTAGTTAATGATTTCTTTTATTAATCTTATACTTTTAATTGTTTTCATTCATAAATTCAATACTTTCAAAGGAAATACGATAAAAAATATCTATAGGTACGATTTAGGCGACCGGTTACCAAAATCGTACCTTTTACAGCATATTACAAAAAGACTTATAACAAATTAATTTGTTATTGGTGAAAAGTTAAACATGTAATAATAAGCGTCCAAAACCTCGAACTACAATTTCTAATGTTCATTTGCATACAAAACAATGCCAAATGGAAAATATAATAAAAAATAAGTTAAGTAGTAACGCATTCGGCAACTCTCCCCTAATTGCAATATCTTAGAAACAGCGTTTACAGTTCGCGATTGTCATCATGGCGTGGTCGACATGCCGCGAATCACCAGTTATCATTAGTAATTAAGTCTCAATTTCATTTGTATGTGATCGATCTCCGAGAAGGCGCTCACTTGCACGCGGTGCTTCGCAAGCCGCGGCGCGTTTGCGCGAGAAACATCCAGCGGCAAATCGACCCGCGAAAAAACCGACCAATGAACAGAAGGAGGCAAGCCACAGGTCTGACTTCGAGTATTTACACCCCGACACAAGATTAATATATTTATTATTCTCATATTCATATAGCATTCACTTGCAAATGCATCCTTATCTTATTTAATTTTACTATAGTTTATTATTAATAGAATTTAAACTGCTTTCATTCACACATGAGACGACGCGGAAAACGTGTATACGTGTACTAATTTATAACGAATAAACATTCTGTTGTTTTTGTACATATGTAAGTACATATTCGCTTCTATCATATACGCCAAGAATTTGATAACATTACCTTTAAACTTAAAAAAAAAATCAACTTCTCTTTAAATTTGATTCCTCAATTTTGAGTTAGGAAAATATCTAGATTAATTTCTTCAAGTTTTGTAAAAAGACAACGAGTATCAAAACCATTGTCACATAGAGTGTTTCACGTGTTCCGATTCTCGATAGTATGAAAATCAGGAGCATCGCGCCTATTAGAGCACCCTGCGAAACCGGCCCTGGTGGGACGGGTCGGGCGGTAGCGTCGAGGCGCTCATGAAACGGGCCGGTCGGTCGGCCTCAGTGATCTGCACGATGCCGCCGTGATCGTATGGCATCGTACTTTTCCTGGCGACACGCGGTACGCATCACGTGGCACCACACACTGCGTCCGCGCGCTCCTGGCCTCCTACGGTGCGACCACGTCTGACGTCCCGACGCGTTGCACCGACCCGGGGGAGAAACGACGCCCGCCGACGACACCCGCACGCGACAACAAATGCGTCAGTGATCTCGCCGTTGGATATATGCCCGGAGAAGGTATACCTACGATACACACACGCGACGATCGACCTGGACAGGTCTCGGTGGTAACGCGACCCCTGCGCGCAAATCCCGGGATTAGAAAGGCCACCCGCTGACCTCGTGAACCCATGACACAGCTGTACACAACCGTTTTTCCATGAATGTGAGACCGATCGTCATCCAGGAAGCGCTGCTTTTCGCGATAACGTCACGGGGATACAACAAAGATAAAACTAACGTAATATCGAATCGCGTGTACGAACGATAATATTAGACCAAGTGAAAATTATCACGAAGATTCATTATCGTTTCGCAACTCCAGGATTTTAAAGATTCGTGATATCTAACTGAAATCTCGTATCATTAATATCAATCGTGATTAAACGATATTTTCTTCTATCATACATTAATATCAATGTCATAAACTAGAATCACAAAAGAATATAATTAATTAAAGAATTAAACTATAATTAGAATAGATCGTTAATAAAACTACACTTTTAAGCATATATCGCCATAAATTGAAGGTATACGTTGAAATAAAATTATATAATTTTCAAGGAACGTAAGTACTATAAAAAATAAAAGGAAAAAAAAAACCTTGAATGATCTTCGATTGTCATTTGTTC